CTTTTGTATTTGTCGACGGGAGTATTTTCCCGTGTCCTTTATTTTCCAGTGCGCCTGTTTTTGTGCCCTGAGTGTGTTTGACGCATTTCTGCGTAAACCTGTATTTTTGCAGATTAAAGCCTGTTATTCTGTGATTTACCCTCCTGCGCCTGACTCCTTCAACACCACCTCATCACAGCAGGTGTGGGCCTCAAGTTTGTTCTTTGCTTTCGTAATAAAGTGAAAAGAGTTGTGGCTAATATATTACTGTAGGTAGTTGCTATGGCTATGGTTTATGATCTACATGCGTAGAGAAAGCCTGTGACTTTATTACTTCACCTTTGACCTGTTAATAAGCTCTTCATAAAACGATGCATATTAAAATAGCATATAGGTGTACATAATTTATATCCGGCAGTGAATATGATTGCTTTGCTGAGATAAAAAAAACTCTGTGGGGTTAAAACAAGTTTGCTTTTCCCTTACATTTTTTTGCTCTGAAATGTTGAAACTATTTTGGAAATTACTCTATCCAAATAAACCCTCTATCTAACACCTATATCACACACACACACACACACACACACACACACACACACACACACAACACACACACACACACACACACACACACATTTAGTTGTTTTATTTTGTGCATTTAAGAGGGTACCTCCAGTGACCACAAGGTGTCTGAAGGACTTGGGTTGCGGTATGTGGAGAGAGCTGTACATGGTGCTGACGTCTATCAACACTCCCAGGCCACACTGCTGCTCCTCTCCTCCTCTCCATCCTCTGCTCCATCAACCTCTCCATCAACCTCTCCATCCTCCTCTCCATCAACCGCTCCATCAACCTCTCCATCCTCCTCTCCATCAACATCTCCATCAACTTCTCCATCAACCTCTCTATCCTCCTTGCCTCTCTCCCTGGGTGAACCTCATCAGCAGTCCTCCCAGGGTCTGAGTAAGCCGACAGATATACAATTACCCTCGAGATCCGTGTCGGCAATAGAAGCAGCAAGACAATTTAGAGGCTCTTTCCGTTGTTTCCCTTCAGTCCTCTGCCACTCTTAAAGACCAAAGAACAGGCTGTTCTAATGTTCAGGATAATGGCACCACAACTGGTGCCTGTGTTTTGGAGCTCGTGGGGTTTCAAGCAGGTGCCTGTCATTTGCTGAGTCACAGACTGTTTTAACTTGAGTAAACAGGTACATTTGAACGTTTATTTGAACTTATTATGATACATAAGCATCTGCATGTTCAGAGACATAACTCTCTCTCTCCATCTCCCACGACTGCAGAGGAGTTTATGATAGCAGGGTGTCTATCAGCACTTGTTGTTGTTGTCATAGAGTACACTCCCATATAAAGTTCTCAGTAACAGCATGAGAGAGCACAATGAATTCTTAACACTGTCATTTCCTCTGCACAAATAGATTTTAGCAGTAAACATGCTATTATAAATGATCTAACACAACTAGAAAGCCTGAGTGGAAGACTTTCAGCTCAGACATTTCAGCTCAGAAAATGGCCTCATAATCAGTTAGTGTGGAGACATCATTTTGGAGAGTGGTCATTTAGGAAATAATGTGCACTAAAAATACCACTTACCAGCCAGACAGACAGTCATGTACCCCTCCCACCTGGATGGGCATCTGGTCAGGTCCACATGGCGTGGGCATCAATCCTCATCACCTGACTGACCTTGGGGTGATCGGCAGACGCTACCACCTGGCCATGAGCCACAGGGTCTCTCTGCATTTCATGAGGCTCTGCCTCACCCTGAGCCCTGCTACGTAGTTCCCTCCCCAAGCCGCCACAGCTTGTTTAAAATGATGAATGAATGGCAGTGAGCCCACATGGTGGAGAGAGAGAGACAGAAAGAGGGGGAGAGAGAGAGAGGGAGAGAGCTAGAGAGGGAGCGGAGGAGAGAGAGAGATGAGCGAGAGAGAGAGAGGAGAGAGAGAGAGAGAGAGGCAAGAGAGAGAGTAAAGAGAGAGAGAGAGAGAGAGAGGGATGAGCGAGGAGAGAGAGAGAAGAGCGGAGAGGAGAGAGAGAGAGAGAGAGAGAGAGAGAGAGAGAGAGAGAGAGAGAGATCTACTGGGTGATAAACCACATCACAGCAGCAACATGTGTGACCTGTTGCCACAAGAAAAGGGCAACCAGTGAAGAACAAACACCATTGAAAATGCAACGAATATTTATGTTTATTTATTTTCCCATTTGTACTTTAACTATTTGCACATTGTTAAAACACTGTATATAGACATAATATGACATTTTAAATGTCTTTATTCTTTTGGAACTTTTGAGTGTAATGTTTACTGTTAATACTTATTGTTTATTTCACTTTTGTTTACTATCTACTTCACTTGCTTTGGCAATGTTAACATATGTTTCCCATGCCAATAAAGCCCTTAAATTGAATTGAAATTGAATTTGAATTGAAATTGAATTTAGAGAGAGAGAGTGAGAGAGAGAGAGAGAGAGAGAGAGAGAGAGAGAGAGAGAGAGAGAGAGAGAGAGAGAGAGAGAGAGAGAGAGAAAGCTGTGGAGCCTACAGAGGTAATTGAGGGTTAGAACAGATCTTAACACACTCAGGAGAGGGTTTGAGTTGGTCTCCTGCTT